AATGCAAACTCACTAGATGCTCCTATGACATGCCTAGATACACCTGAGTCAATGATCCAATCAACATGAGTTTTAGTGGATGCAAGTGCATGAACCCGTGTACCTTTGTTCGCATGAGCATAACCAACAAAGTTACCAAAACAGGTAGTGTTATTCAAATCCTGAGTGACTTGTCCCTTGCCCTTCGAATTCTCAGCCTAAAGCTTGAACTGACGTAGTTCCTCCAGCTCTGTTATTTCAGCTCCAGTCATCCCAGTAGTAGTCTGGGACTCCTCTGCCACAGCTAGGTGAGCAACTCCTCGACCTCCACGTTCCTTGCCTCCTCGACCTGCACGGTCATCTCTCTGTCCTCTGCCCCCTCTGCTACCACCAATATTGCGGGGTTGAGGGCAATTATAGCTGAGATGCCCTTTCTTTCCACAATTGTAGCACTCTCTATCATCTCTGATGTGAGCATCTGGAACCACCAATACTGAGCGGACAACAGGTGAGGCCTCGCCTGTCATCACCTTCTGTCTGATCTCCTCTTGTTCCATCGATACAATAGCCTCATCCAAGGAGGGGAGAGATGACATGTGACACATTGCTGCCCTCCTTCCCTCAAACTTTGGGTTCAGGCCCTTGAAAAAGTGAGCTACACGCCTGCGCTCAAGATACTGCCTCCCCAAAAGAACATCTGTTAGGTTTTGTAGTGATAACATATCATAGTGATCCAAATCCGCCCATAAGTGACGTAGCTTTGCTGCATACTGGTGGATTGTTTTCTCTCCTTGTGTGGTAGCATCAATCTTCTCTTCTACTTCCATCATCATCATTATACTCCCAGCTCCAGAATACATCCCCTCCAATGTCTTCCAGACATCAGTTGCACTTGAGATAGACTCTACCATCACAGCTATGGTTGGAGACACAGAAGTCAACAACCAAGAAACCACCAAAGAATTAGTGTTACTCCACGTGTTCCACTCAGCACTCGCCTTATTCTTCGGCTCAGTGCACTCCCCTTCACATATTTTTCAAGTCCTTTGATTCGAAGGTTCAACAATGCGCTCCAAGACCAACTCAGATAGTTTCTTGTCCCCTCAAGCTTGATATCATTAGGCAGCAATTTTACCCTCTGCATTACCTACGCCGACTCCGGTGTGGCCACGACTGACCTACTAGGATTCTCCTCTAGTTTGGTCTGAAATACCCTGGCCACCTCTTCCAGGATCTCCTTCAATTCCTGACTTGTCACATGTGTTCCCATCTTCACAGTTGATTGCCCTCTCTTTCAGCAACAATACCCACAGAAGTAATTTAAAGGGGGAAAAACCCTCGAAAGCCCTAAAAAATGTCAACTGTGATCGGAGAAACAGTGAAACGTCCCAACCAAAAAAAATGTCAAAGCCTCCTTCTGCGGTTCTTCTCACGCTTAAGAATCTCCATAACAAGCAATACCTCCTCACCAAATCTCCATAACACAAATGGCCTCTACTGCCTCCTTCATCCTGTCGATGACTGCAAAGACACCCAACATACACATATCCCTTTCAACCTCGGTGTTACTTAGTTACCATGAATTCCCCTTCTCCTTTCACCCAAAGTCTCTTCTTCTTGCTCAGCTTCCGAGGATCTCTTCATCCACCAGTCCTCGATCAAATCCGATGGCTACAGATCCCTAGGCGAGGCTGTCGACGCCACGGTTGATGGTGGATATTTCATCGATTTCGTTGCGCGGCGCTCAGCTGGCGGCGGCGGAAGGGGGTGATCAAGGAAAGGAAGAGAATCGGTGGCGTCGTCAGGGGATGAGTTCTCAGGAGCTCGTTCAGAGGAATCCGGCGGCGGAAGGAAGGGAATCGCGGCGAAAGGTGATCAAGGAAAAGAAGAGGAATCGGGGCGGCGTCGGAGGAATCGGTGGAGATTTCGTCCGATAGCTTCAAGAGATCCGCCACATGTCTCTGATCCATGAAGTATTTTGGGGTGAAAATTTGGGTATTTACTCTCATAGAGAGGACCCTTTATATTAATGCACTCTTACAAATAGGTCTTACAACATTAACTAATTAACTTAATCTATCTAAATAACTCAATTATATATATAATATATATATATTATATATATATATATATATATATATATGATGGCTATGAGGTGGCGGCTTAGCAAAATGAGCTAGGTGCACACCTTTTTATGTGACTTTAAGTGTGACCTACCATTGGGTCTTTTGGTAGTATATTTAGCAAAATGAGCCGTCACCTCATGCTCATTATTTCTCACACACACCACACACACATAATAATATAATATATATATATATATATATATTCTATATATTATATATTTATATATATATATATATATATATATATATATATATATATATATATTATATTCATGCTCCCTTTAAAAGTATGAGTTAAGGAAAAGCTTTCCATTGTCAATAATACCCTTCAGTATTATGAATATTTCATTTAAATCTTAATTTATCCTAATCATAATTATATTCTATCCTAATCTCTTGTGAACTACATATAGCTCAAAAATTAAAAAAAAAAGATTAATAAAATACATGAAATAACTCCACTATATTAGTTTGTTAAGGTAAAGAACTAACATGCTATAATGTATGAAGTATTATAAAAAATCACAAAAAGTTTTAAAACTTGCACAAAATACCGTCAAAAGTTTAAAATTACACGAAACGTCCTGACATTTTAAAACTTAAAACAATAAACAAGAAATCTAAAAATTAACAGCAGTCTCTAAATAATTTAAAATTTACAATTAACACCCTTAACGTTTTAAAAATTATAAAAACACTTCCAAAGTTTAAATAATAAAAAAGCACTGTCAATTTCTAGAACTTTAGTACTTACAAACAATAAATATGAATTCAATGGCTTACCATTATGCACCTGAAAATTTAAAATTTGTAAAAAAAATAACCTTAAAGTTATAAAAATTACAAAAAAACTCCTTCAAATGTTAAAAATCACAAAAAATTATGAAATTTCAAAACTTATAACCAATACATATTAAATTTGGAAATTATCAGCAGACCGCTAAAAATTTACATTTTACAACAAACAATCTAAAGTTTCAATAATTACAAAAGTACAACCTTAAAATTTCAGAGTTGTAAGAAATATCTTGACATTCGAAAACTTATCACCAACACATGAAATATAGAAATTACAAGCACCCAACTTAAATTTTAAAATTTTCTAAAAATACTCTCAAAGTTTTAAAATTTGCAAAACACACTCTCAAAATTTCAAATCTTAGCAAAGAAAAAAGTAGTTTGATATTCTTTCATTAAGATGTATAAATTTAACTTCCAGTTTAAGGTTTACTATTCTTTGTTAGCATCTAAAAGTAGTCTAATTTTATCAAAAAAGATAAAGACGGAGAAGGATTGATGTCGGCTTAATAAAAAATAAAACAGAAGAAATAAAAGACTGTTTTTTGAATATTTTATAGAATAGTTTGTTTTTTGAGTATATTAGGAATCTTTAGAAGGATTTTCATGAACTTTTTTTTAGTATTTTTATATGTTTATGCGGATGCTTTCATCATATAAAAGTGTGCTAGCATTAGCATTAATATTTAGTTTATAATTTTTTTAAAGTCTATCAAGGATTAGGAACAAACTACATATTCTCTTTTGTGTTGTTTTAGCCCATTTTTAACCAATCATTTTATCTTATTAGCTTTAATTATTCATCTTTCTTTTATAACGCTATTTTTTGAAGTGTTTTTCACTTTTACAACACTATACTTACTCAGGTCAAGCTTGGTTTCATGTTGGTCTAAATAACATGATAATTCAAATTGGATTCAGATTACATTTGTTTCCTATCAATTCAATTATCAACATGAAAGTTTAAATTGGGTGTAACTTATTTAAACGAACATCAAAGAAAATAAATAATCACAATGCTAAAGTTTAGAGACAAAAGCGAGCAAAAACCATCAAAGTGGAATCGAGAAACAAATTTTAGTAAGGAAATAAACCAAATATACTAGAACATGGTATTTAACCACGTGCATAAAACCTACTGTGTGTGTATATATGAGAGAGAGAGAGAGAGAGAGAGAGAGAGAGAGAGAGAGAGAGATGGAAGGATTTCCTATCAGAAATCAGTGTAGTTCCTCAAATCGTACTAGTGTATTATTTACAGTAATTTTCTTTTATATGAATAGTTCTTGAAAACACTCCTACCTTAGGATTTTCCTAAAAGATTAAGTTTCTCAGAAAGCAAAAATCGGCATTTACATGAGATTCCCATTGGAGTAACAAGTATCACGTAAGTGTGGCGGCAATGTCCTAATAATATAAATATGACCTCTCTTTAGTGGTGGAAGTCTTATCTATTTCAGGATACGGAAGTGTGTTCGTTTAAAAACCAGTCCTGAACATGAATGCCCTACCCATATTTAGACTTTAGAGCATTCATTTTACTTAATACTTTTTAAGGTGGTTGTTCTAAAGAGGTATGTACGAACGCTTCAAATTTAGTTAATTAGTTCCATATCCATTGGTGACATAAGCGGCTGCTGATGCAGGCACTCAATACATATCCAAATGTGCCGTACATTGAGACTTGTTTGACATGCATCTTGTCAATATCATACATGCCGAAGCTCTATTAACCTCGAAAAACAAATGAAAACATCATCTGTTGGACCATGAAAGGTGTGTTTTCTGCAGAAGTAATTTAAAATAGTATGTATTACAATGTCAATCATTGTTTTCAAACTTTGATACTATAGTAGAGGTCCTTATGTTAGTCTTCATGTATTCACCAAAATTAATTTATCTATTTTATCAGTTCAGCCCTAAATGTGTGTATGACTTGTGAGATAAGATTATTGTGGTCGTACATACTGGTACTTGGTAGAACATAGGCCCATCCACCGTGTTACTAACCATACATTCTGGTGCTTATGTTAGATATGTTGTTGGCCAAATCTTGATCTAGAAAATAAAGTTATTTACTGTTTTCTTCTTAACCAGCTTTATCCGTCAACACGACACTATCTGGCCCGTTGCTGAGCAGATTTGATATAGTTCTTGTACTCCTTGATACAAAGAATCCTGAGTGGGATGCCATTGTCTCATCTCATATTCTAGCTCAGGTGAATTCCTATCCTTTTCTTTTGTTGCGTGATATGTTCCCCATCTTTTTCCTTGAATCTGTCAACAGTATCACATAATTGTTTTAAAGTCAAAGATCATCTATCAAATCATTATGGTTCGGAATCATTGACATTTGGTATATTCTAACCCTATTTAGACAGGAGAACCAAAAGGTGGCAAAGATGGCAATGGCATGGAAAATGTCTGGTCACTACCCACATTGAGGAGGTATTCTCATGTGCTCTTGTAATTCTACTGTTTCTTTTAAAATTGCGCAGTTTCCTATTTACATGTATATTTAGTTGAAGCTTATAAGGTTTATCTCAAGTCTGGAGTATTAATAGAGGTAGTAGCATTCTAGATGAACAAACCTGTAGTAAGTGCCAATTATTTTGGATAATATAACTGAAGTAAGATGAGGACCCATAAACTAGCCAAATTAAATGAGTACCACAATAATTATTTAAATTTCTACTCCAATCTATTCAAGTTCAATCATCATTGTGGAGCTTAATCTGAAATGTATCCGTCCCTTTCTATCGTAATTAGAGTTGTTTATTCTTTTTTGCTTCAATTTTAGTGGTAAAGAAAATAGCATTTTTCGTGTCACGTGCTTTTTCTCGTTGCGTCTATGTCGCAAGTTCGCGCACACGCTCTCATGAACGCTAGCTCTTGTAAAAGGGTGGCAAACATTGGAAAATATAGATGACTTTCAGTTATGCAGTTGTTGCTGGGCGACAGCCATGTAACGAGCTACCAACAGTTTCCCATTAAGCAAATTTGACATTATCTTTTAGCACAAGATGAAGATGCAGGGAAGAATGAGCACTCTTGACATAACCCAAAGGAATATTATAACTTTGTCATAGGAGAACCACCAAGGAGAATCAAATAGGTTGTCCACCGGAGGCATTCACTAGACCATCACCGCTTTTGATAACAAAACCCAAGCTTATTCACTCAGAATCAAGATACTCCCAGTACATTATATCGTATATTCGTATGCTCTTTGTATATCAAGTTCATGCTCTTATTAATACTCACGAAGCCCATTGATTCTGTTGTAATTCTAGTGCATCTGGTATATTCTCAGAAATTGTTCTCCCAGGTCCAAATAATAATATTGAGCGGTAGATTTGCGGATGCCCTTTGCTGCTTATGAGAAACTATATTATTGCCTTAAGAAAAGAAAAATATTTTTTTAATTGAAGTTATTGATTTTACCCCTTTCCCTGTTGTATGAAAAATTGTATGCATGGAAAATCTAACATGAAATTTGCAAAGCTTCTTTTCATGCTTTGCACTTTGGACATTTTAATGATTTTATATTCCCTTTCTATGGAAAGAAAGCCCGAATGAGAAGGTAAAATCAATGTTTAAAAAAGCGAAAGTGCAAGGCAAAGCGCTAGACCACTTGATGAAGCGAGGCGTAAGCTTCAAAGCGTGAAGCGTAAGCTTTATGAATTTAAATGTTTAATTTTAACTTTATAAAGATTATGAACATATAATACATAGTGGCGTAACAACTACAAATATATACATTCATGAACTGATTAGTAAATAAGAAATAAACATGTGAGGTATAGAAATGAATCATATTAAAATATGCTACATGCATAACATGTTAAATTCATAAAGATCCTTTTATGTCCTACTATCTAGTCTTAAGCGTGTGCTTCAAAATAAAAGCACTTTATGAAGCGCGAAGTGCACACTTCAATTATGCTTTAAGTGATGAGGCGTAAGCTTCAAGGGGTAAATAGCTTCACTCTTGAGTTTCAAAGCGTTCACCATTCAATAAGTTGTGAAGCGAGTTTCAAAAAAGCTTTCTCAAACATTGGGTAAAATATCATAATGCATTGTCCTGGAGGAATGCATATGGGTATGGATGACAATGGAAGAACAGGAATAGAACGTTCGTGAACATTTATGGTATACATTATATTCCCGACCTTTCTTTTTCTTTCTAATATAACTATGTCCTTTTCTTTACATGAGTCGTGCTTGAGTCACAGGATATACGTATTCAGGTTTCATGTTGTGTTTATTCTGAAAAAAGAAAGAGTCATCTTCTGTTCTTGTATCGGTCATGGTAAAATTCAGTGAAAACAGGATAACACTGGTTAACAGGTTTGAGAAAGGGGCAGCTTCCTTTCTATTTGTAGACTACTTTAAGCTTCTGTTCATTCATGCAGGTATTAGTGATTCTCACAACATATGGGTATTTGAATATGTTTTCTTTTTTATTTTTTGCAATTTTTTACTTGGAATGAGTGGCTGAACTCCAACGAAAGTTGGAAATCCTACCAATAGGCTTTAAGAGTGTCTTTTTGTCATTCAAATGCAGCAATGAGCTTGAGACTTTGGTCCCCTTTACTTGACCTCAGTCCTGGGTCATCTAATATACCTACGAGTTGTATGTATAGTTTCTCCAGTTTGCCCCCTAAGATGCTGGTGTTTTCTAAACCTTGCTCGGCGTATAAGGCTATACATACAACTCGTCTTTTTGTCATTCAAATGCAACAATGGGTTGGGCATGGGCCGGTTCGAACCGTGGGACATAGCGGCCCAGTCCGGTTTCAGTCGAAACGCGATCCGACCCACACCAGGGCAGGCCAACCTGGCCCACACTGTACATGGGTCATGGGTCTAGCTGGGTTTTGAGGCAGACCTAGGACTAGAGAGGCAGGCCCGACCCACCAGTGACCAGGCCTAGCCTAGCCCGACCCTACTCAGGTTAACTATGAATGTTTAAAATTTTGTAAACATTATCAGTTAACATATTTTTTCTTGTATATTTGTAATTTAAATTTAAACTAAATGAAAGTTATTAATTTCTTGTGGGTATAGATTTTTCTTTGTAGTCTCAACCACGTATGTATATCTGTAAATTGGCAATGTTTTTCTGTGTGATGTTTATCAACACGCACACACATATAATATCAAATAATGAGTTTGAAATAGGAAAAAAAACAAATTAAATATAATGTTAGATATATAAATACAAGTTTAATATATTTTAAATAGGAAAACATTGAAATTTTTTTGAAGAAAGGAATCCATGGGTCGTGGGCTGGTTCCGGCCCACTCTGACCCGTGTGGGCCCGGATGAACTGGCCTACTCTGACCCGCGTGGGCCCGGGTTAGACCCGACCCAGCCCATGCCCAGCCTTACTCATAACCATATGAATCCCTACTTTAAACTCTTTACTGTAACCTGATGATCTTGTTGTTCAATACTAGTTCATGGAATTATTTTTAATGCATCAGTGGTTCATTTATATTTGAAAATGGAGAATACTACAGGTATATCCACTATGTCAAAAAGCAGTTCAGACCAGTTTTAACCAATGAGTCAGAAAGAATAATTTCAAATTATTATCAACTTCAACGAAGATCAGCAACACAAAATGCAGGTAAGTAATTAGTGAGGACACCTCAAGTAGAAGGAAAATCTATACCATATCTTACATGTCACATTTTTTTCCTGTGCAGCTCGGACTACAGTTCGCATGCTTGAAAGCTTGATACGTTTGGCCCAAGGTAACTAGATATTTAATCTTTTTCTGAGTGTTTTCGACACCATTTCACATGGGATTTTGAAATATATTCTCTCATTTCAGCACATGCAAGACTCATGTTCAGAAACGAGGTCACTAGACTTGATGCAATTGCTGCCATCTTATGCATTGAATCATCAATGACAACATCTGCCATTGTTGACAGCATCGGGAATGCATTACACTCCAACTTCACAGATAATCCAGACCATGAATGTATCCTACTCTTTTCCATAGTTTATCTTTAATTATATTAACATCGAGTAGTTTTTTAATAAATATTTAATAGTAGATATGTTTTAAATGGTTATTAACTCTGGACGATAGGGGGACCAAGCGGTGCATCTTGTTTGAACTATTTATCAATGCCTACTGTTAGAATCCTTATCTTGCCACAGATGCCAAGCAAGAAGATATGATCCTTGAGAAGCTCAGAGCAATTAGTGAATTATCATGATACTCAAAGAGTATGGAGAAGCCTTGCATTAGTCACTTTCACATCTTAATCCATTGGACTATAGTACGCACTACAACTTGTTCCTATAGAAGAGGTCTTCTTGTCCCCAAAATTGCCTCTTCTATAGTTTGTGCAGGTAAATAATTCAACCATATCCTCTTTTCATGCACTTGAATGTTTTTGCACAATTCATTATCAACTCATTAATGCTATTTCGGAAATACTAGTTTAAGTTTCGCGTCAATTGCTGCATGTATGATATTTAAACACATGCGACAGTAACGTGCGTGATCTGCATTAAGTTAGGTATATGTCACCTTCTTCTGAAGCTGGACTCGTTCCTACTCTTCCCCCATTAATCTGGTATTGCCTCCTGTACTCTTTAACAACCACAATGCTTGAAATGTTAATAGCAGTTTTCAGCACACGATGACATGCATATGCTTTTGATTACTTAATTCACACTGCTCATCTGCATGCGGACAAGACTGCGGAACATGTCAGTAATAACTTTGTGGTACGATTCTTTGGTTGTTATTGTGATGATCCTACAAGCCTCCTTTAGTGGGCCATTGGCCACATGGCTGGCTGATGGGCATAGGGCCCTCTCTTATAGAAGTGTCTGATCTTGGGATAGGATGATAGCTATCATAATCAACCTGCTTGTGGGGATACAAATAGAGAAAATGGTTCTGGAGATGAATGCACAATTAAGCACAGGGGCTTCCATGAAAAATGCATTCAGTTTTGAGAGAATCAGTTCAAACTTTTGCTTTGTTGCGCTCACAAGTACTTGAGAGTAAAATATGCACCCATAGGTCATAGCGGAGCCTTGGCTTACATTCCATTGACTTTGTGATTTTACCAATCAGTTATTAATCGAATTTTATGGATGGGATCTAGTTAGGTGATGAATATTATTTAGTTTCTTATGAATCTAGAATTTCACGTCACAATTGACGATTTATCTTTGTAGAAAAATCGTAGTATTCAAACCTGTTGGATTTACAATCACCAAACCAAACTCATAGACAGAGCATAAATCCAAACGGGGCACACGGAAGGCATCTAAACTCGACAGTGACCTGCTACTTGTGAAAACACTTGTCAGTACTAAAAAAGAGCCAACAACCAGTTGGTAGAGAAATGTATAGAGGATGATACAGATGCATGTTCATCTGCTGGTGTATTGAAATCTTTTGGGCTCAGAAGGGAACATGAGTGTATTCCCAATGATATTTTATTAACAGGCCTATGGTATTATAAATGCTAGGCAGTATGCTGCTGACTTCTCTGTTTTGGTGGAATGCCGTGAAAAATCTTAATTCAGAACAAACAACTTGTATAACCAATCTAATTTGACTCGAGATCTTTCCTGAACTGTTGTCTAACTAGCTCAAAGCTAAGTTGCCTTCAGCTTTTGTAGAAATCCCCGCATTTATGTGGTACGAGCCCATTTACTTGCTCACGTTAGTGGATAAGCATCAGGTGTAGAGGCCAATAAATTGGTTGTACATCAATCTTTGTCTTCTTTGAATCTAAATGCCCCTGCTTTCTTTCTTAATAATGAGCTTAGCTCTTTACTTTTATTTTAATATATATGTTCCAGACCTGCTTGAGTTTTTCATCAAAAGCACTGCATCTACCAAGTGTGCAAGTTTCTTTACTTTGTCTGTTGTTTCAGTTCCCTCCTCTTTTCTGCGTCCTTCTAACATTGTCTACTATTTCTGAATGCTTGTGGTGTTTTAAGCTTAGGTTGTGTATCAGAGACATAACATAAGCATGATCAAAGAAGCAGCACTAGAAACCCTTTAATATATCAGAGATTCAGAGTTTACTGGATTGGAGTAGAAATAGCATGCCGTAACATTGCATAATCACGATCGATTTATCTGTATTCACCCCTGTTATCTGTTTATTTATTCATACATTTTATTAAAGTTCTCTCAACTGTTTTCTGCTGTTGGTTGCAAAATTGTGGGCACCACCCATAATATCCGCCGTGGAGAGGGGAATAAGATGTAAATAAATAACTATGAAGGAAAAGATAAAATGTGCAGGCTGCAATATCAGTAGATGGGACCGTCCCGACATTTAACTTCGATAACAATTGATGTTTTTGGGAGTACTCATAGATAATTTGATCTCCGCTTTGTTTCCTTTTGGGCTTCTACTTTTTAACTTTCATCATCAACGATTGTAACTCCTGAGTTTCACTCTGCTGCAGAATCTTTGGTCCCCCCAATGCTTCTGTCTCTGTTGGCCTCGGCGTTTTCCTCCTTGGACTTTGCATCTGAGGTGGAAGTTGGGTCCTCAATGGGCCTGAAAGCAATGGGCCTATATAGGATTGTGTTTGGTTGGGCCCACAGTGTATTATGACTTTATGAGAGTGAGTCCAGAGAGGGCGTGGAAAAGCTCCGGCCCCTGTTTGCTGCTTTTTGGGATTGGATGGTGATCTGTAGATGCTGCTTCCTCTTTGTGGGCTCCCAAGTGATATTGGTTAGGCCCACTTCCCCTTCTCCCTCTTTAGATCTAGTTCCTTATTAAAGTTGACGTGCACTTGCTACATTTTGTACTCTATTGTTGTCACTGTCATTTTATTCTAGAATCTAAACCTTGTTTCACTAGATGAGGGTACATTAACCAGGATTAGTGTTATTAATGATTTGATATCACTAAATACTAGTACTTGTATATTGAGTAGGGTTTTTCCTATCAGTATTGAGTAGGTATATTTTGTTTTTAGGGTAATTAATAGATGAAACAGTGGTTATCGGAAACTTTGATCTTTGGCTGGCGATAATGTCGGTCGAACCACGCATTGAATTGTATTAGTTGTCTGTGGTCACTCGTAGCTTATGGAACTGTACAGAAATTTAATTCTGAACATGGACTCAAGCTACATGGGACAAGTACATTTGTCTCCAGGAAATATAGGAATAGTAATTTTGTAGACATTTGTTATAATATATGTGCACGATGCCCTGTTAAAAGACCAACATAGATTGATAAGTTATTTTCTTCATTTAGGAGTATTGATGAGTATTGACAAGGATAATTGCGAATAGACCTTATGCGTTCCACTTGTGTGAATAGACCCTTGGGTGGGTGAATTCGTTCTTATGCTTAAAATAGTTAAAAAGGTTGAGGAGGTGGATAGACACCTATAGTTTTTTATTTGTGAGGATAGATTCCAGTTACATTTTTTCCCCCACTTCTAAAAGAGTTGAAAAAGTTCATTAATGAGGCGTATTCACACAAATAAAACTATATGGGGTCTATTGAGAATTGAGGGATTGTATATATAGAGGGGCCATTAGCAATTAAACCTATTAATAATTCTCTTAACCTGTGAGTTAGTTTTATTTCTTCAGGAATATGATGCTGTTTTTGTTAATAATAAGTCTCTTTCCTACTGTGATATAAAAGCTTATAATCTTTTTTCTTTAGCAAATATTTCATGTTTTTTATGCATTACTTAGAGCATTTTTGGCAACATACTTATTTTCACTTATAATTATCTTTTTACTGATAAGGTGTCAAGATCATGTTTGTTAAGAGTTATTAATTATTTTTAACTTGTAAGTAGGTAAATTTAAGCTGGGATTCTCCTAAACCTTGTTTTCACTAGATTAGAGTTCATTAACCAGGCTTTGTATTATTTGATATTAGTAAATACTATTACTTTTTTTTTGAATTTTAGAGGGGGCATTCAGACTAAGTACTACTACTTGTATGCTTAGTAGGTATATTTAATTCTCAGGGCAATTAATAGATGAAACAGTAGTTATCGGAAACTTTGTTCTGTGGCTGGCGATTATGTAGGTCAAATCATGCATTGAATTGTATTAGCTTGACATGATATCGATCCACTGTGTCTGTGACCAGTCGTAGCTATATGGAACTGTACAGAAATTTAATTTTGAACATGGACTCAAGCTATATGGAATAAGTACATTTGTCTTCAGGAAAGATAGGAATAGTTATTCGTGGGCCCTTGTTATGATCTGTGCATGATGCCCTGTTAAAAGACTAACTTAGATTGATAAGGAATTTTCTTCCTTCAGGGGTATCGATGAGTATTGATAAGGGTTAATTGCGAATAGAACCTTGGTAGTTCTGGCTGTGCAAATAGACCCCTTGAGTGATTTTTTTTTCCTATTAAAATCGTTAAAAACGTTTTGAGTTGGATATACTATATAGTTCTATTCGTGAGAATAAACTCCCAGTTGTGTGTACGTGTGTATGTTATTTTATTTTACTTTTTACTTTTAAAAGAGTTGAAAAGTTCATTAGGGCATGTATTCGCGCACATAGAACTACAAGAAGTCTATTCGCCATTGGGTGATACTAAATGGGAGCCTATTCACAGTTAAACCTATAGATAATTCTCTTCACCTGTGAGCAGTGACATAGGCATGAATTGTAATATCAAGGTTTTTTTGAGAGTCAAGGATACATTTTCTCAAACTTGAAAACCCCAACCAGATGTTATACATGAAATGTTTCATAAAAGAGAGGTTTTTATTTATTTATTTATTTATTGTATTAGTCCCCCAACTCTTTCATATTTTAAAATTAGCGTCCAGATCGTCATATTTTGAAACTAATCCCTCAAATCTTCATATTTTGAAATTAGTCCCTAAAATCTGATTAATATATATTTTGATTTTAGTCCTCCAAATCTTGTAGTCAATTCTCTAGCTTGAGGCACCAACTTCAAATTGATAAGAATGGAGTTTTTTTGAGAGAAAAAGGGACGATGGTCTTCATTAAATCAAGGTGTTTATATACACAAGTGTGAGAGCATGGGGTGTAGTATCCTAGCAGACAATGGGACTAAAAAGAAGAGTACAAGCATGCATGTTAACAATATTTAACACAAATGATTTTAAAACTCGAGGAATAGTTTCAAAATATGAAGATTTGGGGGGCTAGTTTTAAAATATGAAGATTGGGGGTGCTAATTTCGAAATATGAAAGATATGGGGTACCAATTTGGCAAAATAAGATCCTATAAAATGATTTTCTGCGTTAGAATGTATCAGCAAGCTAACTTGAAAAAAGAATGATAAATAAGATAAAGTTGGATATTTGGATGGTTACTAGTTACTGTACAATATATTTCACTAAATGATTTTTTTTTTTAAATCTCTACATAATGATGATAAGACAACGATAATATTTTGTTGGCTAATAGTATTATTGTTTTAATGATATATTAGCTATAATATTTTTTTTATATTGCATTAAATGATTTTTTTTTTAATCTCCACTTAATGATGTTAAGACAACGATCACATTTTATGGACGTAATGGTTCTTGTGGGTTAGTTTTATTCCTTCGGGAGTTCCTGCTGCTTTTCTTATTAGTTCCTCTTTCCTATTATGATAGGAGATCTTCTGTATCTCACTTTTATTTTATCATTTGAGTCAAATCCTAGCATTAAAAGAAAGCATCAACTCAATCTCTCGAACTCAATTAACTGCAAACGGGTGTTTGGCTAGTGCACAAGTAGAGCAGACAACAATTGTAAAATTCTCAAAGCACCGAATATGACGAGAAAAGGAGCCCTTTCCGTTACGTCATGTCATCATCCAGACATCTGCACGATACAAGCTAAAACAATTTGCAGTCGAGTGTGCGGCTCCGGCCGAAATAACCCCCCCATCAAAATTTTGGCCACAAAACGTACAACAAAATTGCTGAGGATTGTGAACAGCTATAGTTCGGACAAGTTGAGGATAATACAACAACGCTAGCGGCTGATCACGTGCATCCCCGGGGATACAAATTAAGACTATTATTTTGTTGGTTCCGTTGAATATAGCGATGTACGTGTTTAATAGTTCTTACTGAAACTATATAGTATAGCGTCCATAAATACTAACAGTTTCAGTGATAGCAAAACTCTGAAAGCAGATGTTCAACCCATACATCACATGATTTTGCAATAACAGGTTTTAACCAACTATTAAGGAGTATTAAGCTTTTTAGATGCACATCTTGTATTGCTTTTCAACAATATAGTTAGTTTCAGCAATATATTGATGTCTCAACTTGCCCTTTGTTATAGTTAAAATTGGTGCGCATATGGTTTAGTTCCTGATATGTGCACATGTAGTTAATTAAGTTACTGATACTAAAGAAAAATGATCTTATTTAGCGTTTAATGTGTTATGTTGTCTCTAAGGAGCAAGAAAAGAGTGTGTGAAGCTGAAATTGCTAGCTAGTAGTATTTCTCCGCTTACGGTCCTCCGCGGGTCTTTTTTAATAGAGTCTGAGGAAAGAGACTAGGGTGGAGCGGTCATTTTCTTCTTTAATCCATGGGCCTATCACTTACGCGTAGGTATTTGATTAGTACCGCTTTTCAATGCGAGTGGGGCCCACTACAAATGTATTGAAAGCGGCAGATACCAACCCTTGTTATGCTCATTCAAGCCTAGATAGGGATTATATATTCTTAGCTAGTTTGACTATGTATCTATTTTAGAGGTTGTTCGTGAGCGTTGCTTTCGCAATAAAATACAGAAGGCTTCTTTCTAGAAAAACAAGAAGAAGAAGAAAAAAAAATCAGCTTTTTGCTGATTTTTGCCAAGCTGCTTGTGCATAATTCCCTAGAGGGAATGTTTCTTTCTTTTTTTTTTTTTAAATTAACTCTTGACTAAAAGTTACCATGAAAATCTTTACTATTAGATGGTAAAGTCATATAGAATTTCCACTATCGAAATAATAGTTCTGAAGTTGGTGATTTTCAAGATAATCGTCCCAAAATTATCTTTGTTATAATTTTCCCTTCCGCCTATAGATCATAAATAAACTTTAAGCAAAATCATTTGACGATGCATATTCCATTACCTATAAAGGCTAAAGGAGAAGAAATGAATCCTAATGTAGCCTCACCCTCTCAAAAACTTAGCCACATGCCACTCACCACTCAAAAGAAAGAAACAAAAAAAAAGAGCTCCTACTCCCTCCCCAAAGCTTTTCCTCCTCTTTTCTTAAATTTGTACGATCTCACGCAAGTGACATGAGAGAAAACCCCATAACAAGGCAAGTGAAGGACGTGAGGCTAGCAAAGAGAAATAGAAAAGGCAATTGAATTGGCTGAGGATGTCTCTATGGTCTTTGCTTTTGCATGGGGTTGTTTCATAGCTGGGTTGCAATTGGTTGGATGGATTGCTTTTGGGAGCGCAGTGCTGTTGAAGTGAGTGAGTGAGTGAGAGGACATCTTGTTCTACCTGTGAATATGGCTTTCCTTTGATTCCATGCTGGCTTGTTTAGGACAATTTTTTTAAAAAAAAACATTATTCTTAAAAAAACAATAAGCAAAACCGATCCTCTTATGAACATATTAGCAAAATCGACCGTTTTTCAGTCAAGTGGTCAAAATGAGGTTGATTTTGCAAAATACTGACTTTAAAATATATGGCACCAGTAGTCACGTGTAATTAATAATCGCTAATTATGATTAATTTGAAATGATTTACTCGTATACTTTGTGTTGAAATGCTTAAGGTTTAATTAATGAGAACTAAATACACGGGTCTACTAGTCCTATGTATTTTAAAGCTGAATTTCTACAAAGTCGACTTTAAAAAAAACATCGATTTTGCTAAAATTTTACAAAACGGTCGATTTTACTAATTACTTTTCAGAAAGGGCCCTTTTTCGAAAATTCTCCAAATTTTTATATAGAGGACACCTTAATGGGAAATCATATAGAAATGTGAGATTCTGTTAGATGGTATTTGGGTTGCTGGAGTTTTAAGA